AATTTTGTTCGTATCTGAAAAAAATCTTAGAATACGAAAACATTGGTGAATGCCACAAATTCTCCTAAATCACTCGTACGCATAACTTAAGAACAAATCTGTGCGTACGAACGATTCTTGCATGAGGCCCATTGTGAGCTGCTTTACATCCAGGATTCAGACTTACAGGAGATATCTGATCTCCGCTTTGAAACTGGCCAGTGCTGCTTGGTGAATCCCATTCTTGGTGATGAGCAGCTCGCTCTCAAGAGCTGTGGTGAGGTCACTGAGACTCAGTTTTCCATCCAGGTCAAAATTCAAAGCCTGAAAGCATAAAAAATGTAGTAATAATAATAATAATAATGCATTTCCCCCTTAAAAATGATCTTATTGTAAAACAATCCACAGGTGCGCTACCTGCAAGATCTCAGCACTGTTTTCAACTCCCTCTTCTATCCAAACATCCAGGATGGACTCAGTTGGAGTGAAACCCGATCCGTCGTCGAGTACAGAGAGGAGACGCATGCTGAAGGTGCTGGGTAAAGCAGAGATCCTGCGACCTTCTTCATCAAAAGGCTGCAAGATGAGCAATAACAAAAGCTCCAGCTCTGTTCAGCTTTTAACTTGGAAACATCACACTGCTGCGTTTAATGTCCTTGTTTCAAAATGGTCACAAGACATGAAATCACACTTGATTTCACAAGGCACGGGAACTCTACCTGATGGCTTACCTGAGTAGAGTGATGGCGTTTAAGCTGCCTGTAAGGTGTGGAGGCAGACTGTGTCGGCAGCTTGTTGTGGTTTAGAATCCTGGAAACAAACTCCTGAACGTTCATCACTCCATCATCGCTGAGACTGAGCGGGAGGTCTCCATTCAGCTGGAAAAGGAAAGGTCTGAGTGTTTCTACAGTCCTTCAGTGGGTACTTTTGATCAGATGTCTCAGAAAATTAATGAAAGAACTGCACAGAACGCTGAAGAAATGAAGATGAAGAGAACCAGAAACACTACATTTTCTGCCAAACTGCAGTTTGAATGATTGCTGACACTAGTTTGACTAAGGCTGTGCCTTTTTGCGCAGAAGACCTTGGCCTCTACCTCCCCCACTCCCCTGCTGTGAGCCACATAGTGTCTATTAATATGCTAAAAAGAGTCAGTCACACCTAGAGCCACACCTAAACCTAATCACATCTCACCTACATATCCTTTGGCCCAAAACTGTGCTCCTACAAATCCCCACTTTGCAAACATGTCAGCTTGTACGGATTGTCCGTAAGTTATAAGGATTTTACGTCATTTTGCAGGTATACGGACGTATAGAGCAATATCAGAAATTTTTTCAAGTGTTTCGGATTTCTTCAAAACCTCATTTTCAAATTTATCTAACATGTCAGAGCCTGTAGGATGATTTGTTGACATGTATGCCTTTAGTATTTGTAAATTTTCTAAACTGTCCCCAAAACTGTGCCCCTACATACCCCACTTTTGGCCCAAAACTGTGCTGCTACAAATCCCCCCTTTGGTATTTGTAAATTTTCTAAGCTGTCCCACAAGTAACTTTTGTGCTCCTAGTCAATTCTGACTGATGTGATATATTCACTGAAAACAAAAAGACAAAACCTTACTAAACACATAATACTTGATATATACTATATTTACAATTTTTTACCGTAGCTCTAAAAATACAGTGGCATCCAGTTACCGTATTTTTCGGACTATAAGCCGTGACTTTTTTCCTGAACTTTGAACCATGCGGCTTATTGTCCGGTGCGGCTTATCCATGGATTTTTTTCTTCAGCCACCAGGGGTCTCTTACACTCCATTTGCTTCAACCACTCGCTTCAAAAAATGAAGAAAATAAAAAAAGAAAAAAGCGATCGCTTCCAGAGCCGACTGTTGTACCAGGAAGCAGCGATTTAAAGATAGTCAATGGCCAAAAACTTATAAAAGGGGATAAAACAGACATTTTTCACGGTGGAATCTGACTGATAAAAACTTTGGAGCTTAA